GGGTGGAGTCGAATGCTCAGCGACCTGGAGGGGGCGGGGTGTGAAATATCTCATTTATATTTAAAGAGACAGCACCAAAACGGCTTGCAACTCAGAACAGGGGTAAAAGCAAGCAAAGCAAGGAGTCTGTGGAGCAACAAAAACGAGGAATTAAGACCAAAGTGGTGCAGTTTTATTTTAAATAGACCATAAGTGAATGATTTAGATGTGAAAAAGAAGGATTTAAAAGCATGATATAATACCTTTAAAGTTTTATACTCTGACAACCAATCTGTCTTATTTTTATTTAAGCAGACAAAACTCAGATGTGTAACTCTAAAGTTTATTTGTTTTGTGATTACTTTTTATTAAATTATGTATAAGTGAACGTGTCTAAAGGGAGAAAAGTATTTCTCAACATTTGACTTTTAGAAAAAGGACATTAATTAGTCTTTAAGCAGACCTGAGGTTTAAAACAGTCCCATTGTGAAAAACTAAAGCTTCTGTTAATAATTCCACCAACAAGTTCATCATAAAGACACTCAAACATTTAGCATGTAGCATCTTAGCTTACAAACACTGAGGGGCTGTTTACACTAAGGGTCTGTTAACACTGATGGGCTATTTACACTGAGGGTCTGTTAACACTGAGGGTCTGTTTACACAGAGGGTCTGTTTACACTGAGGGTCTGTTTACATTAAGGGTCTGTTTACACTGAGGGGCTGTTTACACTAAGGGTCTGTTTACATTAGGGGTCTGTTTACACTGAGGGTCTGTTAACACTGAGGGTCTGTTTACACTGAGGGTCTGTTAACACTGAGGGTCTGTTAACACTAAGGGTCTGTTTACATTAAGGGTCTGTTTACACTGAGGGTCTGTTAACACTGAGGGTCTGTTAACACTAAGGGTCTGTTTACATTAAGGGTCTGTTTACACTGAGGGGCTGTTTACACTAAGGGTCTGTTTACATTAGGGGTCTGTTTACACTGAGGGGCTGTTTACACTAAGGGTCTGTTAACACTGATGGGCTATTTACACTGAGGGTCTGTTAACACTGATGGGCTATTTACACTGAGGGTCTGTTAACACTGAGGGTCTGTTAACACTGATGGGCTATTTATACTAAGGGTCTGTTTACACTGAGGGACTGTTTACACTGAGGATCTGTTTAAACTAAGGATCTGTTTACACTGAGGGTCTGTTTGCACTGATGGGCTATTTACACTGAGGGTCTGTTAACACTGAGGGGCTGTTTACACTGAGGGGCTGTTTACACTAAGGGTCTGTTTACACTGAGGATCTGCTTACAATAAGGATCTGTTTACACTAAGGGTCTGTTTACACTGAGGGGCTGTTTACACTAAGGGTCTGTTTACACTGAGGGTCTGTTTACACTGAGGGGCTGTTTGCACTAAGGGTCTGTTTACACTGAGGGGCTGTTTACAATGAGGGGCTATTTACACTGAGGGGCTGTTTACACTGATGGGCTATTTACACTGAGGTTCTGTTAACACTGAGGGTCTGTTAACACTGATGGGCTGTTTACACTGAGGTTCTGTTAACACTGAGGGTCTGTTAACACTGATGGGCTATTTACACTGAGGGGCTATTTACACTGATGGGCTATTTATGATGGGGCGGCTGTGGTGTAGTGGTAGAGCAGCCGGCTTGGGACCCGAAAGTCTTAGGTTCGACTCCCCGCCATACCCACATGTCGTGGT